AACAACAACAACAACAACAACAACATAACCAGGTAGGAAATCTGGTGGTGCAGTGCCTAAGGCATTTGACTGTTAACCAGAAGGTTAGTGGTTCAAACCAATCAGCCGCTTCATGGAAGGGAGACTGGGCATCTGCTTCTGTAAAGATTTACCACCTCAGAAACCAATGGGGGTCATTATGAGTCAGAATTGACTTGATGGCAGGGAGTTTTCTTTTTTTATAACCAGTTTAGGTCTTATTTGCTTTTTCCTTGCCCTAGTTTCTTCTCCACACCATTGAATTTTCTCTCTGAAATGCAAAACTGACCACATTATTCCTTTGTCTAAAACTCTTGATTAGCTATCATCACCTACAGGATAATACAGAACAACACTCAGCTATATCTGATCACTCTGTGCCTGGAATGTCTTTGTTTTATCTGTTTGGGGAATTTCTAGTTATTCTTCAAAATCCTGTTGGTGCATATCCTCTGTGATGCTGTCTCTGATCGCCTGGAACTGTATTAATGATTCTCTACTTTTGTTACCTTGCACATACTTCTGCTGTGCATTGATCACACTATACAATTGGATAATTATTTTCATATAATTTATAGAATTATCTCCTTCCTCAAGGGCAAGGCTTGGGTGTCTTTCTTGTTTCTATGTATCTAGCACCTAGCACAGTAGAACCTCAATAAATGTTTTGTTAAGTTAAACATGGCATTTTAATAAAAACAATTAGTAGCATTCATTTGCAAATAAAAATCAATGTACTAATTAAGCTCTGTCTTCAATATCTAGGCAACTTGGTATACTGGGAAGAGCAAGCTGACAACCAGTGAGGTGGTCTGGTTCTGATGCACTGGGCTCCCCCCACCTCACTCCTGAAGTCAGGGACAGGATCTGCACTTGGCAACCCTTTATCAGCAGTTCTCACTAATGAGCATACATCGGAAGCTTCTGGGAGGAGCTTCACTAGCCCACCATTTTCATTTTACCGATGATGGAACAGAGATTCAAGACAGTGAAATGGCTGCTTCATGTTCAGTTGTCTCTTAATGACTGAACTGAAAGCCAAACTCAGACCTTGGCAGGGCTTTTCCCATGACACCATTTTTTCTTGTCTCTCCATTCTCTACAACAGCCTACCTCATTCTCAGTAAATTTTATGTGATGCTAGCTTGGTCTTCAAAATGACTTAGATGGGTGAGAGCACCTTGACTAATCTCTGTAAAGATGTCCCTTTACTATGCACTTAAATTCTTGCTAAAGTACACAGAGTAGCATGAAAAGAGTTCTTCTCCCTTTTTTGGGGACTAAAAACCAAAACCAAACTTACTGCCGTTGAGTAAGATCCAACTCATAGCGACCCCTACTTGGGTATCTGAGGTGGTACCACTCCAGCAGTAGATTGATCAACCTTCCTTCTGAGGAGTGGCTGGTGGGTTTAAACTGCCAGCCTTCTGGTTAGTAGTCAAGTGCCTTAGATATTACACCACCAGAGCTCCTATGTTGTTGTTGTTATGTGCCATTGAGTCGGCCCCAACTCATACCGACCCCTCCTTGGGTTTCCGAGGCAGTATCAGTACAGAAGTAGGATTGCCCAACCTTCCTTCTGAGGAGTGGCTGGTGGGTTTGAACTGCCAGCCTTCTGGTTAGCAGTCAAGTGTCTTAGGCACTATGGTACCAGAGCTCCTATGTTGTTGTTGTTTGCTGTCGAGTCGGCCCCGACTCATAGCGACCCCTCCTTGAGCCCTTATAGGACAGTTATAATCAGAGAGGATTGTATTTGGACAAAAACTACTACTTCCCTAGCTGCAAGGGAAAAACTATATTTTTATTATGGTGTAAAAGGCATATTAAATGCATTATCTCTTCCACTAATACCTGTGAGGATCCCAGGACCATTCAGCCCATTTGTCCTGTGTATGACCTTACTTTACCTTTTCATATCTTTGTTTCTCATCTGTAAAAGTGGGGGTACTAACACTATCGATGTTACAGAATTGCTGTGAGTAACTCATTTAACTGTCACAATGGTAAACATTAAAACCTGCCACTTGTTATTATTTGTAGATGAAGAATCTAAGTCTTGGCAAGGTTAAGTGACTTATCCTTGTAAGCAGAAGGGGCAGCATTAGATCTAAGACCCGTGGGGTCGCATTCTATAAACTTTCTACTATGCAACACTGCTTTCCTGGCTCTGCCAACATGCTCTGAATAATGGGACAGGGACAGAGGTCTGAACTGGAGGACCACCTCTGAATGTGATTTGTATGGAAGTGGCCAGACACATCTAGCAGGTGCACAGATGGTGCACTACTGTAATGAAATGTCTTGGAGAGGCAACATACAATTGGTTAGTTTCACCAAAGAACTCTCTGGTGCAGATTGGAGGCCAGGTGGGACTTTGCCAGAAATCCATTTGGGAATATTCTGGGGTGTCACTGACTGGAAAGGGTACTGTACTAAAGGGCATAACCTGGCTGTATTCCCCATTGTCCCTTTCCTAGTGATCTGGAAAAGTATAGACATCAAGCCTACTGTGGGCAAGAGTCTCCTTGCAAGGACTGCTACATCCTTCAATGGATGCAGAGAGAAGAATATTAGGACATGGCAATGCTTTGCAGCACCAGTCCTCTGGTTCTTCTGTCCCTGAACCTGCCTAGGGAGGGACACGAGATCTGATGGTGGAAATGGTCAGTGGTCTATCTTGTTTCCAAACTCAAATGATTAGATGGGCTTACTTAATCTGACATCTCTTTCTTTTGGTAGGAGAATGGTGATGCTTTTCTTTCTAGAGAAAGAGCATTCAGAAGATCTAGGTTTAGGTGCTGACTCTACTATTTACAAGCTGAAGAAATTTGAAGGTTAAATGCAATGAGCTTTAATGTCCTCATCTGTAAACTGAGGGTGATGATAACACCTATCTAACAAAGTTATTGTGAGGATCAAAAGTGATGATGCAGTTAAACGTGCTTTGCCAATAATAAAGAGTAATACGATTCATCACTGATATTCCTTAAACTTCATAGTCCAATTCTTAGTCCCACCTTTCTCTGACTTTTCTGGCCCTCTGACCCACTATGGATTCACAGTTCATTACACAAAATGTGGGTCTCCATTATTTTCTGTTTTTCATAGTTGATCAAATGTGTCATATCTTACCTTCACAATGTATTACCCAAGAGCAGAGATCATGTATCATATCTATGCCCAATTTCTTATAGAGTATGGGATCAATTAATACTAACTGATGGGGCAGAACTGTCCCAACAATAGTGGATCATGGACTTGGGAGTCAAGGTCTGCCCCCTGTACCCTATCACCCAGCCTCTCTTGTAGATTGGAGTCAAAACAGGAAGGGGAGAGGATGAATAATAACTTGGAGACCTGGGCTCTGGGTTTGGCTCAATCACATCCTATTGGTTTCCTCAACTATGAACTGAGCATAATAATGCCACCCTTGCCACTATGAAGGAGCCCTTGGATGGCACAAATTGTTAAGCACTTGGCAGCTAATAAAAGAGTTCACAATTTGAGTCCATCTAGATAAGCATCAAAAGAAAGGCCTGGTGATCAACTTGCAAAAAATTAGCCATGGAAAACCCCATGAAACACAGTTCTACTCATACACATGGGGTCACCATGAGTTGGAATTGACTCACTGCAATTTTTGGGGTTTTTTTGGTTATTATGAGGAGAATGTGCTCATTGATCACACATGGGAGTTTTTGTAAACTATGAAGAAAACACAAAGTGTTGTTACCAAAATGAAGGGCATGGCTTTGGAAACAAAGTGATTGGTCCAGGTGGGAACAGAGCCCACATTCACTCATGTGGTATGCTAGCCACACTCAAGGAACTCACCTGGATTTGGCCAGCATCTGGGCCACGGGCTGAAGGTCTGGGAGCGGTTGCTGATGGGGTTGCTCACGGTGCAGGTGTACACATTGTTGACATGCTGGGGGCCAAGGGTAAGGTACAGGAGGTGGGAGCTGTTGGCCAGGCTCAGTGGGTGGACGTCGGTCTCCTTGTTCCAGCTGTAAACCACATGATCCCCCTTCTCCACCGTACAGGCCAGCGTCAAGCTGCAGTTCCCAGTCTCCTGTGTCAGGTTTAACACCTGAATTTCTGGAGTGGAGACCTCCTCTGTCATTAGGGGGAGGAAGGGAGCCATCACTGAAATGAATCCCCCAGAATTCTGAGTTGATCTTTTATTAGAAAGCAATGCAGCCTAATGACATTTTTTTTTCCCAAACTGAGGGGTTTCAATGTGATTTATTTCTAGTGGGATCTATTACTTTGCACCATCCCTCTGTCTCCCTTACACTCTTTCCAAGACCACCTCAGGATAAAATAGAGAAGAAAGAGAATTTGTTTTTTGGCCTCTTCCTGCCAGTACTGTATACAACCAGAATCTTTATAATCAGAGGTCTTCCTGATGTTCCTTGATTTAGGCTGCTTTCTTGCATTCTATCAGTGGAGTTTGCCATCAAGTAATTCCCCATGGATTTTAATTGTCATTGACTAAAAGTATTAGCAACAACAACAACAACAACAACTACAAAGGTATTAGCCTCCTAATGATGAAAATGACTAACTGACAATAAATGACTAAAATAATGACTTTTTAGTGGTAGGATTTCATCTGTAATGTGTGTGTGTGCGTGTGTGACAAAAATTGTATTCTATCTGGGGTAGGAATAGCTACACAATCATAGCCACAGATTCCATCAACCTACCCCATTCTAATGCTGTGAAGTAGGCAAGGAAAGAGGGAAAGTCTTATTTATTTAGCAACTTCTATAGGACAGGCACAAGGAACTCTGGTGTCATAGTGGATAAGGCATTTGGCTGCTAACCAGAAGGTCAGTGGTTCAAACCCATCAGCTGCCCCACAGAAGAAGAATGGGGCAATCTACTTCTGTAAAGATTTACAGCCTCAGAAACCCAATGGGGATCACTATGAATCAGAAGTGACTCAAAGGCAGTGAGTATAGGACAGGCACACCACCGGAATTTCACATTGATCACCTTCTTTAGTCTTCTCAACAACCCTTTGAGGTAATTATAATTATACCTATTTAATAGATGAGAAACTGAGTCCAAGAGAAGGGGAATGTCTTAGATTATGTCACACAGCTTCAAAGAAGTCAAACTGAAATCTGAACCTAGTTCTATCTGATTCCAAAACCCAGCCTCTTTGCTGGACTTGAGAAGAAAACCATAGTTGCAGAGACCATATTTTCCAAGGTAAGAATTTGATCACAAGATGTGACAAAAACAGTGAACATACAGAAATGAAAGGATAGAATGTATGATATATGAACTGTTGTTCTGAAAAGTATAGGTTGTGTGGTCTCCAATGGCCTTGGAAGCCTTGCCCTAAGGTCACCATTGGAGTTATGAGGCCTCCTTAGCGCCTGGTGGAGGAATGGGGAAATTCTGCATACACTGAAAGAAAGAGAATGCTGAGGGTAGAGGTCAGGAGGGGAGTGTACTGCTGTCTCTCCTCCAGATACCTGAAGATTGCAAAGAAGTACTGGGTGATAGGGGCTCCTTGTCCCTTCCACAGAGAGAAGAAAGTCACTTTGAGGAGGCAGAAAGACCCAGGCAGCTCTCAATATTTCTGGGAATTCAGGTGAGCTTCTGGGCCTAAGATACACAAACTCTGGGTGCATTCAAGAAGGGGTGGCAGATGCCAGAAAAAAAGCAGTGGCTTTGGAGTCAGGTGGATTGGAGTTCTAGTTTAAGTTTAGTAAGTAAGTAACTTTAGAACCAGATCTTTTTTTTTTTAATGAGAAAAAGTCACTTCTACCAGATAGATGCAGTCCTGTGCCAGAGAGGTGAGCAGAGCATGGGCTGAATTCTAGCTCTTATTCACTCAGGACATTAGTGCAGTGAACAACCTGAACATATATGCATAAGCACGTGCAAACCACTTCTTTCTAGATTCCAGCATCCTCAACCATGAAAGAAAGGTTGGGTTTGTATTCAAACTTTTAAAAAATCATAAAGAGAAGCCGCCACCCCCTTTTTCCCCAAACAAAAATCTTATCTGTAAACAAAGGCTTCTGCAGGATCCAGGCCCCCCTAGCCCACAGGCAGCTGGACTCCTTTCCTTTGGGAAATGGGGGCGAGGGTAGCTAGTGCTAATAGCTACCACCAATGTGTAATTCAAAATAAAAAAATCGTGACCCTCTACAACTTCTTCCATGAAGCCAGTTTATACATCCCCACACTAGATGATCTCTTGAGTTTCTTCCAATTCTAAATACCCTTAGTTTCTGAGAGAGGGCTAAATTTTTGGATAAAGGACCACAATGGCACTCTAGTATAAACTAGGGAAGCCACAATTATTACCATAAAGCCTCAGCTGCAGGCAAAACTGCTGGACTGAAGTGTTTTGCTCCAGAGTCATAGAGTACCAGCCTTCATCCTCCTTCCTGCTGTCCAGAATCTCCAGGCTCAAGTTTTCCAGGTGAAATTTATAGCGGTATTCTAGATTGGGTGGAGAGCCCCTTTCAGATGGATCAAGAGACATTATTTTTTTCTTGAAGACACTGCTAAGTGATGTTTCCATTGTGACAACGATGCGAATGCTCTTGCTCATGCTCTTATTTATCCCTTCGTATGTCAGGGACAGCATCACATTGCTTCCCAATCTCTGGATAATCTTGGGGCAGTCCATTGAGTGTCCACCTATGGGAGGAAGGAGAAGACAGTCTTTCACCACAGAGGCCTTTGAGAAGCACATTATGTGTAGAACAGGAAAGGCAAACTGGAAGGCTCTCTCTCTTTCTCTTGGGTTATCCTTGGGGTTGCCAGGTCTTAGTGGTCTATAAGGATTGCCATGAGGGACCCCACTCCAATGTTTTTAAAATCTCAATGGAAATATTAAATTACTTAGAATAGACCTAACTAGAACTAACATAGTTAATGCAGCTAATCATATCACTGGGTTTCTCTGATCTAGGAGGGCATTTTACCAAATTGTATCTATAGTTAAGGTATCTAAAGCACCAAACCTAAACCAAAGCCCCTGCCATCGAGTTGATTCTGACTCATAGTGACCCTCAAAGTATTTCCAAGCCTGTAAATCTTTACGGAAGCAGATTGCCTCATCTTTGTCCCACAGAGAAGCTGGTAGGTTTGAACCACAGACTCTTTTGGTTAGCAGCCCAATGCATTAACCACCAGAGCTCCTTAGCTAAAGCACACAGAGGTTAAATAATTTCCTTAAAGTCACATAACTAGTACAAGCCAGAGCCAGGATTGGAATCCAGGTCTGTTAATTCCTCTACCAGGGTTCCTGCCACCATTGGGTATATAGGATGAAAAATGAAGAGAACCTGAAAGTAATTCTGAGTTCGTGAGCTCAGGGGACCAGGAAGCCTGGAGCATCATCTCTGGTGATAAGGAAAAAAAAGAAAAGTCTGAAGGATGTGGAGTTAATGTAGTGGTGAGTACAGTGCTCAAACTGCAGAGTCCTAACTCTCATATTAAAAAACAATTAAAAAAAAGATAGTTAATAATACTGAGGGTGAGAAATTATTTTAGATCTCATCTCCAAAAAGCTGAACCAGCAAAAAACCAAAACAAAATGAAACAAACAAAAAAAAAAAAACCCTAAACCACTGTAAGGGATCCTACTGCTGATTATTTAACACCTCATCTCCTCAAACCACAATCTGCTTTTCTCCCTCCTCTCTCAGTAGACATTCTTGCTTCTCATTTTACTGAAAAGATAGAAGAAGCTATAGAGAACTTCTTTGTATTACCACCTCCAAATCATGCTCTCATTTAAGGCTAGAGTCTGTTCCTTCATGGAACACTCACCTACTTCAAGGCTTTGCTCCTCCAATTGTCCCTGCTTCTTGCATTATCAGTTGTCTACTGGGCTATTTCCATCAAGATACAATTATACTCATTGTAAAAATCCTTTCCCTGATCCCAGGTCAGGAGCTCTGGTGGCATAGTGCCTAAGGCATTGGACTGCTAACCAGAAGGCTGGCGGTTCAAAATCACCAACTCCTTCTCAGAAGGAAAGTTAGACAATCGACTTCCCTAGAGATACTGCCCAAGGAGGGGTCGCTATGGGTTGCAAACAACTCAATGGCAGTGAATTTGTTGTTTTTTTTTTTTTTTTCAGTCCCAGGTCCAACTCCAGCTACTTCCCCATTTCTCTGCTTTCCTTTATAGCAAAGCCCTTTAATGTGAGTTTTTACTTCCTGTTCTCATTTTCTGACCCATCATCCCTTGTACCCACTCCAAAGAGATGTTTCCATACTACTCACTGGGACTACCCCTGTCAAGGTCATTGTCTACTCCATGATGCCAAGTTAATTCTCAGTCTTCATCTTATTTGCTTTCTTTGTAGCATTTGGAAGAATTAATCACTCCCTTCTTGAAAAACATTCTTCGTTTGGTCCCTAGGACACCACACTCCCCTGGTTTTTCTCCTATTCCATTGGCAGGTTCATTCTCAGTCTCTCTGGCTATAATCTTATCTTCCAGACCTCTAAACATTAGTGTGCTCCAGAGGTTAGTACTCAAACCTCTTCTCTTCCCCATCCTCATTCATCCAGTGTCTCATCTAGTTGCATGGCTTGAAATATTTCTGGTATGCTTGTAGAGTTATGTCTCTGTAGTTACATCTTCACTGCACTCCCAATTGCCTATACAGATCAGCATTGCTGGATACACACATATGCTATATTATAATTGCCCCTTCACCATCTTCGTGGTTGCTAATGGACACAACAGCTACTAATGAATAGAAAGTATGTGTTTTAGAGGGAGATGATTGCCCTCTGAAGAAACCCAGAACACTATCTTAGTGAGGTAAAGGAGAAAAGGCTGTTCTCTGGGACCAGTAAATCTAGAATAGTCTGAACAGGGGCAATAAATAACGTCCATTGCCTACAGTGGGCTTTCCACTTTTATTACCACACTTGACTTTTTCTTACCCTCTTTTATTGCCTCTTCATCATACCTATTCTCTGTACATGCTATCTGGCTGTCCAGTTAGTATTAAATCCCAAGAGAGGAATTTAGACCTTCTCCCAAGATGTGAAGTGGGGTGTGCTTGGATGTAAACTAACCCTGTGGATGGGAGCCTAACTTTGGGAAGCCCAGCTGATGACGATGTGTATAGTTCTGTTCATCTCTGTCCTGTTTATTCTATGAGTAATAAATGCCTGTTGATCACACCATTAGAAGTGTCTGGTCTGTGCTCTGCTCCAAATAGTCTTTCACTAAGAACTTGTGAATATAGTGGCATTGCAGGACTTGGGGATCTAAAGGGAAACTCAACCATAGCAAACATACTCTTGATTCTGTAGCCCCATCTGCAAATAACATCACAATTCACCCAATTTCTCAGGTCAAAAATGTTGGAACCATCTTTGACTGTTTTATTTCTCTCATAATCTACACTCAGTCTATCAGACAATTCTATTGGCTCCACCTTCAAAATATTAATGTCATCCAAGCACTTCTCACCTGCTTCATTTTTGCCACTATCACCGTGTTGTTGCTGTTTATTGTTATGTGCCGTTGAGTCGGACCCGACTCATAGTGACCCCTCCTTGAGTTTCTGAGGCAGTATCACTACGGAAGTAGATTGCCCGACCTTCCTTCCAAGGAGTGACTGGTGGGTTTGAACCACCAGCCTTCTGGTTAGCAGTCAAGTGCCTTAGGCACTACACTACCAGAGTTCCCACTATTACCATAGTCTTGGTTATATCCACTGTCTTCCAACTTATTTGCCTGTATTGTACAGTAGTCAGAGTAAACTTTTGAAACCATATCACAATTGGTCTTTCCCCTACTTTTAAACTTCCAGGGCTTTCTACACCCACAGAATGAAATGTGAAGTCCTTGACATGGCTTCAAAGACTCTCATCACCTGGTACCTATTCCTCATTCACTGCACGATTGTCACGTTGGCTCCTTGCTGTTCTCAAACTTACCAAGAACATTCCTATCTCAGGGCTTTTATGTTTGCTATTCCCCCTCTCTGGCAATCTTCTCCCTTACATATCTGAATAGCTCATTCCTTCACTTTATTCTGCTCAAAAATGTATCTCCTTTGTAAAGCCTTTCTGGCTACCCTATCTAAAAATAATGCTATGCCCCTTGTATAACACTTATCACTTCCTGACATTTTATGTTTATTTTTATCTCCCCTGGTAAGAATGCAAGTGCCTTAAGAAAGAGAACGTCATTTTGTTCACTGTTTTATTCCCAAGACCTATAACAGTGTTTGTTGAATTTGCAAATAATAAAAGCCATATCACCTGACGAAAATCTCTCTTATTTAACTTTGCCCCACATGTATATTGTTGTTGTTTGCCATCGAGTCAGCCCCGACTCATAGCGACCCCTCCTTGGGTTTCTGAGGCAGTATCACTACGGAAGTAGGAATGCCCAACCTTCCTTCCGAGGAGTGGCTGGTGGGTTTGAACCGTCAGCCTTCTGGTTAGCAGTCAAGTGCCTTAGCCACTATGCTACCAGAGCTCCCTCACATGTATATACTGAACCCTCCTGTACTTCTGAAAGGTTATCAAATAAATAAATAGTACTGCTATAGAAACCTAGAGTGGTATCAACTAGAACAATCTATGTTGTCTCTAAATCATGGGTTCTTCTTTTATGAAATACAGCTTATTTTTAAGTCCACATGTATATACTGAACTTAAAAATAAGCTGTATTTCATAAAAGAAGAACCCATGATTTAGAGACAACATAGATTGTTCTAGTTGATAAAAAGTCAGAAGAGTAAAATAAAACCTTCTGGTTAAGAAACACAGCCATCTAGTATTGACTTCTGGTTAAGATAAGTTGTGGAAAAACTACACAAACTGGTTGTGGTAGTTAAGGTTATGTGTCGGCTTGGCTTGGCTTGGTTTTGAGTGGCTTTTTGGTACATCTAGATCCTGCATTTGGCTGAGTCTTCATTTAGTGGCTTATCATGTTGCTTGATAATCTTGAGACTATGCCATTTTACGTGTTGACTTTGGGTTTGTCAGCCAGGAGCTGCCTGAGTTAAGAAAAGCCTCCAGCTTATGTGGGCCAAGGAGCAAGAGGCAGAGCTGAAGCCCAAGGTCAAGGGGCCTTCCCTCAGCTTAGAGCTGGCACTTTGAACTCAGACTTCTAGCCTCCTAAACTGTAAGACAATAAATACCTATTTGCTCAAGCCACTCATTTGTGGGATGTTCTGTTAGAGCAGCACTAGAGGGCCAAAACACTGGTCAGAATATTCCTGATGCCCAAATGCCCTGAAATCTCAGCACTGTCCTGTTCCAGCTAACGTCAGAATAGAGATTTGGAGACCAGAAAAAAAGAAAATGCAGTCTACCTGGGCTGAAATCAGTACAAGTGGGGCTTAGATTCATAATTATTAAGGAAACTGAGAATGGCAATTATGCATTTGTTGCTTTAAAATTTGCCCCTAAAATATCAACTCTTAAAACAGAATTCTCTTCCTTATTGTTTAATTGATTAGATGGAGAATGCTGTGTTTTTATTTTTTCTTTTTCCCTTACCATGATAAATTGGGAAGCATACTGAACTTTCTTCCAGCCACTCCTATGAATGCCAGACTGCCTAAGAAAAGTGGCTCCTCTGGTGGATTGTAGGCTCAATATCCCAGGGAATAACCTCTTGTTTCTTGAATGTAATTGTCTACATTTAAAAG